CTGTATAACTAGACCCTTCCGAAAACCAGGTCGGCCACTCCTACCAATATCTATAGATACAGATGTACCCATTCTTGTTCGCGGCCTCAGCCCTAAACCGTAAACCGAACGAAACCAAATGGCTTTCCGTAGATCTCAGACAGCAGGGATAGGCGGAACAAAGGCTTTCAACAAAGAAAACGTCCGAAGCCCTAAGTTGCTGAACCCCCAAAGGCGCACCTCTGAAGTGAAATCTGACCCTGAACCCTAAACCCTAAACCCTAAACCCTAAACCCTAAACCCCGAACCAGGAACCTGGACTGTGAGCCTTGGAAGTCTAGAGACTCCAAGATCCCTTAATTAAGGAACATGCCTTCAATCATCGTAGGATCCCGAATATGATCTGAGATATATTCCTTAATTCAGAGGAGTCTCTGGAGTCTAGAAGGTTTGTCGGGCTAGGGTTTGCTCTAAACTCAAAATCCTGAACCCCGTAAGTTGTCCTTAGACATGGAGGCTTCATGGCAGCGGGTGGAGAAAGATGTCAGACCTAGGTTCCTGAGTAGTGCTCTTTTGCCCTTTCTATTTTCGGGTTAACAGTAGCAAAAAGGGTACCCTTACTACCCCTAAGGGTCCATGTGCCCCAAATAGTATATACTTGGGCCCCAAAGTACATGGACCCTTAGGGGTTTAAAGGTGCTACCCAGGAACCTGGCGTGGGGTTTGGGGTTTGGGGTTTGGGGTTTAGGGTTTAGGGGTTAAGGTTTAGGGTTTAGGGTTTGGGGTTTAGGGTTTAGGGTTTGGGGTTTAGGGTTTAGGGTTTAGGGTTTAGGTAGGATCAGGCATGCGGAGCAAAGTCCCTGCTCGCCAGACCCGGGTTGCCAGATCCACCGTTCCGAACATTAGGCTTTAGGGTTTAGGGTTTAGGGTTTAGGGCTCATGATTATTGTTTTCTTTTCAAATTGTATTCTTATGGTTATTCCCACACCATTGGTCACACTATGGTCCTGAAAGTCTCGTTGTCATCCCTTAAAGCAATCCGTAGCCTTAGAGGAAGCTCTCAGCCCGCAGCATAGATATCACAGCGTCTGCGCACCCCTACCTCGCACAGCATGTCGATCACTGTGTCAGTTCGAATGCTTAGTGGCAGTACGGCCACTGTGCAAGCCGAATTGGACGAAGAAGTTAAAGCGCTGAGGTTTCGGGCCCAAACTGCACTGGGCATCGGAAAGGGTTGGCTGTTTGACTCAGCCGGACGAGCGCTGGATACAGGCTCGAAGATAGCTCATGCCAACATCCAGAGTGGTGACACACTTAGCCTTGTGACTGCCAGGCGTCAACTTCAAGCTCGGGGAAGAGCTATGGCTGCCATTCTTGGTGATGGATCCGTGGTGACCTGGGGCGAACCCAAGGCTGGTGGCAATAGCCGTGCCGTGCGCGATCAACTGAAGAATGTGAGGCACATTCAAGCGACTCATGGCGCCTTTGCTGCCATTCTTGCCGATGGATCTGTGGTGACCTGGGGCGATGCGGACTGCGGTGGCGACAGTCGCGCTGTGCAAGATCAGCTGATCAATGTGCAGCAGATTCAAGCCTCCGGTTGGGCCTTTGCTGCCATTCTTGCCGATGGATCTGTGGTGACCTGGGGTGCTGCAGAGCGTGGTGGCGACAGTAGTGCTGTGCAAGATCAGCTGATCAACGTGCAACAGATCCAAGCCTCTTGCTGTGCTTTCGCTGCCATTCTTGGAGATCGATCCGTGGTGACATGGGGTCTTCCTCAAACTGGTGGTGATAGCAGAGTTGTGCAGGATCAGCTGAAGCATGTGCAGCAGATCCAAGCATCTTTGTTCGCCTTTGCTGCCATTCTTGCCGATGGATCTGTGGTGACCTGGGGCGATGCGAACCGTGGTGGCGACAGCAGCGCTGTGCAGACCGAGCTGAGGGGTGTGCAGCAGATCCAAGCCTCCCCTTTCGGTGCTTTCGCTGCCATTCTTGATGATCGATCCGTGGTGACATGGGGTCATCCGCAAGCTGGTAGTGACAGCAGTGCTGTGCAGAATCAGCTGAAGCATGTGCAGCAGATCCAAGCCTCTTTCTTCGCCTTTGCTGCCATTCTTGCCGATGGATCTGTGGTGACCTGGGGCGATGCGGACCGTGGTGGCGACAGCAGCGCTGTGCAGACCCAGCTGAGGGGTGTGCAACAGATTCAAGCCTCTTGCTGTGCTTTCGCTGCCATTCTGGATGATGGATCCGTGGTGACCTGGGGCCATGTTAAATCAGGTGGCGACAGCAGCGCTGTGCATGATGAGCTGAAGAATGTGAAGCAGATCCAAGCCTCTATCTGTGCTTTTGCCGCCATTCTTGGTGACGGATCCGTGGTGACATGGGGTTCTCCGAAAACTGGTGGTGACAGCAGGGCTGTGCAGGATGACCTGAAGGATGTGCAGCAGATCCAAGCCTCTTTCTTTGCTGCCATCCTTTTATGGATCCGAGATCACCTGGGATTGCTTCTCATAGCAGTGGTGGCAGTCGGGCTGTGCAGGATCAGCTAACGAATGCTCAGCAGATCATGCAAAATGCCTTATCCAACATTTGCCTTGAACCGGCTTGTGTTAGTGCGACCACACAATTTGGAGCCCACTTGCCCAGAGGTTAGTGGGTTATAAGTTATAACTACCACAAGGTTCCTCAACCCTAAACGTGAACCCTGAACCCTAAACCCTTCTCTGGTTTGACTTGTGGAGATGTGTCGCTGCGACTCTGAATACCTTCAGCTCTTTACATAAACCGTCGGATCTCCTTACTATATCCCCTTGGGAATCGTGTTTCATTTTGGTTCATATAAACCCCAAGAGGATATTAAAAGCATTGTTTTTATTAAGGTTCTAAGGGGTAGTATAGCTTACCTATAGGCTCCATTGTAGTTCCTTTTTGGGATTACCTTTTAGGATCCTATTTTTTAGCCACAAGAAGGAACTACAATGGAGCCTACGGGTATCTAGAACATGACCTCGTTTCCCAGTATGTGCGCAACTTGGCTATTCAGCCCCACATGCTACACGCTAAACCCCGCACTTCTGCGTCTAGGCAGCTTGAACCACGCTTCCGTTGCGCACAATCCAAACCATGCCAATCACCCCGCACCTCGAAACTGAAGAGATGCAAAGCTCCCGATTATTTAAGGCAAGGTTTTGTTGGCGGGGTCACCCTAAACCCTAGACCCTAGACCCTACCCCATAAACCCGAAACGCCAAGGTGGGCATTTTTACGTATATCTTTGAGCCTCAAACAGTGCAACTTGGACGCCGATCGCCTCGGCCTTTCCACTCCCCGCCCCACAAGCCCAGGCAGCACGCTGTGAACCCTAAAGTTTCCCTAAAGCCTAAACCGTGAAACAGTTTGCCATATGGAAAATAGCCCTAAACCCTAAACCCTAAACCCTAAACCCTAAACCCTAAACCCTAAACCCCTGAGCGAAAGAAATTCTAAACCGGCAGACTTGGGGCTGGAGCTGGCATCTGGAATTCGGAAAAGCAACAAGGGCCGACATGATTTAGGGTTTGAAGTAGACCGGTCTTCAAGGTTAAGGCTTAGAAGCCCTACCCTCCAAACCATCCCAACACCCTAAAACCCCTGCCTCAGGTTGAAAACACAGTGACCCCAAAGCTGTCGGCCTCTTTTACGTAGAGGGGTTTTTTGGTAGATGGTGAAGGGCTTCGGGTGTAGGGTATTTAGCGTTTAGAAGTTCCTGAAGCAAGGTTGCAGCCGGCTTTGCTAGAGCCAGCCTGCTGAAATCCCCATAACACACACCCATAACCCCCCAAGGCTGTCCGTACTCAGGGACCTAAACAAGGTAATTCTAGCAGGCCCTAAACGCTAACCCTAAACCCTAACCCTAAACCCTAAACCCTAATTCTTACTGCACCCTGTGCACCGTCCTAGCCCTACAAACTCACCGACTGGGGCCTTGGGGGCCTGTAAGGTTGCCGTGCGACCTAAACTTGGCCCCAGAGGTATGGAGAGTGCATGCGACTCATCGAGGAGTGCACTCAGGACACCGCAGCCCAAATGCCCAGAGCATTCTCAACTCCTGGTCCCTAAGCCCTAGCGCTCAACTCCTAAACCCCGAAACCCTAAACACCGACCGGGTCGCCCTGCACCTGGAAAATCCGACATGGAGGTTGCTATTTTGCCATTCACTCCCCCCAACAACCCCCCCCCGCCCCCCTCGCCGACCCTGCCCGGCGCCCTGCCCCCCGTCCGGTGTTCTTCCACCACCATCCTACGTTCCCACTGTCTGGTCGCAGTTGTTCTGTGTTTAATGGTTTCGGGTTTAGGGTAATTCCCAAACGTGGTACATCCTACGGTCCTTTTGGGGCTTGCGTGGGTAGGTTGTTTTCAGGCTGGGGCTTTTAGATGTTTGAAGGTTTCTCGTCCAAAGAATCCAGCGGGAGAGGGCCCACTCCCCCCAAAAATTCCCGCGGAGACATTGTAGGGTTTAGCGTGCAGGGTTTAGGGTTTAGAGTTTAGGGGAACAAGAGCTTCTTCTCTCGCTGCCACCGATTCTCATCTCAACTGCAGCCATTGCTTCACACAGCAAGAGTTTGCTGCACTTCGCTTGGCAAGCAGAGCCCTGTAAGGGTTTAGGGTTTAGAGCAAGTTTAGGGTTTAGGGTTTAGGGGTTAGGGGTTAAGGGTTAAGGGGTTAGGAGTTTAGGGCCTAGGGCTCAGGCTTCAGGCTTTGTTAGGGCTTAGGGTCTCCAGGGTACTGTCAATTTTGAGAATTCAGGGCTTAAAAAGCTAAACCTTAAGGGTCCAAGGTAGAACCCCTAGGTTATTTGGGGGCTACTTAGGAAAACAGGGCCTATATAAGATATATATATATATATATATAAATACATAAACAAAAAAATAGAAAGATAGATAGATAAATAAATAAGTATATATATATATAGAGGGGAATAAGATTAAGGGTCCCTTCTAGGGGTGCCTCCTTATACCCGCTAGCAAGAGTGGCCCGACATGGATACCGATGGCGTGTGCCGGGTCAAGGCACATGCCACGTCGTACTTCGTCCAGGAGCGTGTGCTCCAAATCCGGGCGGCTGAGAGGGCTTTTGGGGTTGAGGGTAATACTAAACCCTAAACCCTAAACCCCAATCCCTGAACCCTGAACCCTGAACCCTGAACCCTGAACCCTGAACCCTGAACCCTGAACCCTGAACCCTAGACTCAGCTCGAGAGTAGATCTTGCACGTGCACTTCACGTTCGCCCCAAGTCTGGATATCCTCGTCCCCGACTCGTCAACAGGAGGGCTTTGAAGTGCTTCTGGCGATTCCCAGAACGCTACAGCGACCCCTACCCGAAACCCTAAACCCTAAACCCTACACAGGCAGCCCACCCGCGAGCCCAGTTCTCGAATACCTCTACAGCTCTGCGGGTGTTGGAGAGGATCCCAGTGTTCATGCCGCTGCTCATCACAACTCGTTCTTGGCTTTTTGCATTGGTGGTGCGGGGCCCAGTTGAGGACGTCAGTCGCACAGGCTAAGGGCTTAGAAGGCTTAGAGTTTATTGCAGGGCTGCTTTCTTTGATGCGAACCCCCCAAACCCTAAGCCCCAAACCCCCCAAACCCACACCCGAAGGCGTAAACGCTCTGGTTAGTAGGGAATGCGGGAATGAGGTACCCTATAAAATCCCTTAAAGGGTATATATATATATATGGGGCCCTAGCTCCCTCATTCCCTGCCAACCAACAGTAAGGCTCAACCCTAAACCCTAAACCCTACAGTAAACCCCAAACCCTAAACCCCAGACCCTAAACCCCAAACCCTAAACCCTAGACCCTAAACCCTAAAGCAACCCTGACCCAGGTGCCTGCATGTGGCTGATGGCCTTCGTGGTTTGGTACGTTCCGGTGAGTGCCGCGCCCAAGCTGCGGCTGCTCGCCATGATTGCCTTTGGCCTGCGAGGTGTCGGCCATTTGAGATCGGGGTTTGGGGTTTAGGGTTTAGGATTTGGGGTTTAGGGTTTGGGGTTTAGGATTTGGGGTTTAGAGTTTGTGGTTTAGGGTTTAGGGTTTAAATGGTTTAGGGCTTCTGCCTTGGAGGACTTGGGTATGTGATGGAGGGTCTTGCACGGATCATCTGGAACGAAACCGACAACGTGCCTTACGTCTTCAGTGCTCGCATCATAGTGGCGCCTTGGCTGCACCCCGCCCCCCCCCAAGCTCAAAGTCTCAAAGATGAGTTGGGGTTCTGCAGAGCTATTATCTCTCTGGGTTAGGGCCGCTTAGGGTTTAGGGTTTGAGGTTTGAGACCCCCCCCCCCCCCCCCCAAAAAAAAAAAAAAAAACACACACACACACAAAAGAAAAGAAAAAACGGTGGGGAAACCGTCGCGCGGGTCTTGGAAGGTAGGTTCGAAGGCTTGAGAGCACGAAGGGGGTGCTGGATTTTGGAACCTGGGTTCAGCCTTTTTTTGAGGGGCTGGGCCCAGAGGGGCCATACACTCCATACGCCCTAAGTCGTAAACCTTAAGCCCTGCCTGATGGCTGACCCTAAACCCTAAACCCTAAACCCTAAACCCTAAACCCTAAACCCTAAACCCTAAACCCTGAACCCTGAACCCTGAACCCTGAACCCTGAACCCTGAACCCTGAACCCTGAACCCTGAACCCTGAACCCTGAACCCTGAACCCTAAACCCTAAACCCTAAACCCTATAACCCTAAACCCTACACTCAGGAGCCCAAATCCGGCGCCGGCTGAAGTTAAACTCGTTGGTTTCCGTTCCTGGAGCCCCCCCGAACTCCAAGACGCGGTCCGGGGTTTGAGGGTTTTTGGGTTTCAGGGTTTAGGGTTTAGGGTTTGAGGGGTCTTGGGTTTCAGGGTTTTAGGGCTTAAGGGTTGCAGGGCTTAAGGGTTTTAGAGTTTCAGGGTTTTAGGGCTTAAGGGTTTTAGCTTAAGGGTTGCAGGGCTTAAGGGTTTTAGGGTTTCAGGGTTTCAGGGTTTCAGGGCTGGGCTCCTCCAAGACACGGCTGGCTTGTGTGCGGTGCCGGGGAGTGTTGTTTGGAGGAGTACCATTGCAGGGTTTAGGGTCTAAGCCCTAAGCCCTAAACCCTAAACCCTAAACCCTAAACCCTAAACCCTAAACCCTAAACCCTAAACCAAATCTCTTCAAGCAATGACAGCACTCATAGGAATCCATTTTGGCATGTCCACGACGGCTCCCAAGCGGAAGCCAAAAGTGCCCTATGTGTGTTTTGTCTTGGGGTTACAGGGTGGTTTGTCGAACCCTAAACCCTAAGACCCTAAGCCCCAAACCCTAAGCCCTAAACCCCAAACCCTAAACGCTAGACCCTAGGACCCTAGGACTCTAGGACCCCAGGACTCTGAAACCTAAACCCTCCAAGCCTTTCCGGCGGAGAGACATGTCCACCTGTTTCGAAGCTCAAGCATGGACGCGGCCTTTACCAGTGCCTTCCCGAAGCCCTAGATGCCCAAGGGGAGAACCTCATGTAGGGTTTAGGGTTGAGGGTTGAAAGTTCCGAAGCAGCCTTGAACCCTACAGCCTGAACCCTGGGTTGATCCCGAAACCCTAAGACCTAAACCCGAAAACCCTAAACCCAAAGCCCTTAACCAGTCTGAGCCAGTGCGCTTCCTGGTGCACGTCTAGATCTTCAATGCGAACACGGCCTTGGTCGCGAAGAGTGTCATCCCTGGGGTTTAAGGGTTTTGGTGTTTCGGGACATCCCCCAAACCTCAAGCCCCTCAGCTCTACTAAGCCACCCCTAAACCCTGAACCCTGAAACCCTAAACCCGAAACCCGAAACGCGAAACCCTAAGCCCTAAACCCTAAACCCTGAACCCTAAACCCTAAAACCCTAAAGCCTACAGAATGAGGTGCTCTCCTTGGGCATCTGGATTCTGATGGCGAACGGCCTGGGTGAAGCCCTCTGGCCATCGAAGCGCCTCCTTTGGCTCTCGGCCTGGTTGACCACACCAGTGTCACCTGGGCTTAGGGTTTAGGGTTTAGGGTTTAGGGTTTAGGGGTGGCTTAGGTGAGGTGCTGCTTCTTGCTGGCCCTTGCGTCCCTCTTACCCAGTTAAAGGTTTAGGGTTTAGGGTTTAGGGTGTAGGGTTTAGGGAGTAGTTGCTTCCCAACGGGGTCCCTTTGTAGTACTTTTTCGAAGGTTGATGGACTATTCGGGCTTCGGGGTGTTCATCTCCAGCGTAGGCGGCATGCTTTGAGCATAGTTTGGGAAGACCGCTCCCAGCAGAAGGCTGATAGCCACGTCCATCGCCTTGCTGATTCTCTTCACAGAGCAGCGCACCCTGGTGTTCATGTGCACAACCCTGCTGGTAGACCTCTACTGGGCATCGATGTGGGCTGCGACGCTGATTTTTCCGGTGCCGTCCCTGACTCGATGTGCGGCCTCTCTACAGGCTGGCATGCTTGCCATGGCTGCGCTCGTCTCAGCGCTTCCAGCGGCCCTCGAAGAGACCTGTGGGGCCCCGGCACATGTAAGCTGCTACAAGGCCGGGCCGCCGTAGCACAGAAGCCAAAACCCTAAACCCTAAACCCTAAACCCTAAACCCTAAACCCTAAACCCTAAACCCTAAACCCTAAACCCTAAACCCTAAACCTTGTAGGGCTTAGGGCTCAAGAGTTTGTTTGCGGGCAAGCGCCACCTGACTCCCGTTGGGTGAAGTTGCTGGCTGGCGTCTGGGGTGTTTGCATGTAGGGTTGTAGGGTTTGGAGCTTGTTCAAGGTTCAGGGTTCAGAAATGTAAGCACACATGCTCCAAACACCCTACCCTCATCCCCATACCCTGGGCCCTAATCTTAGGCCCTGGCCTAAGGCTTTTTTTATTTTGCGTTTTTTCTGTGGGCGGAGGGGGGGAGGGGGGGGAGGCCGTCCTATGCCCATGAACCCCGCAAGGATTGCTTGCTCGTTGGCCCTGGCTGGCACTACCTTCTCTGGAGCTTCTTCGTGTCCATCTTTCACGCGGGCAACGTTGCCTTCTACCTCGTTGATCCTGCCCCTTTTCAGCTCAGAGAGGCCCTATCCCCGAAACCCTGCAGTCCTAAAGTTTCACAATTAGGAGTGACTTCCTGAGCCCTAACCCCGAAAGAAGCCATGAGCCACCCTAAACCCTACACCCTAAACCCTAAACCCTAAACCCTGCAATCTGAGGCCAAGGTGGATGTCAAGTGGCCTCCTCTTGGTGCCCCTACGGCCGAGCCTGCAGAGAATGCGGAAGATGAGGCCACCGAGAGCCAAACCTAAGCCTGCACCGAGTTCGAATTCCTCAGGTGAAGAAGAACCCTAAACCCTAAACCTTAAACCCTAAACCACAAATTTTGGTATGCGTCTCTGCTTGAAGGATTCTCATGCCCTGCGCATCAGTCGACATGACTCGAACAAGGTGTTTTCAATGGCTTCAAGGTCTTAAGCTCGTGGGTCTAAGGCTTTAGGCTTCAGGCCACGAAGTGTTCGCAGCTCCGTGCATGTGAGCGAATTCAGAGAGTTTAGGGGTTCGAATCCTGTCTCACACGGCCAAGCCGCTCGTGATTCAAGTGGACTTCGGCTCCTTGTTGGAACCGGCGATGTCCCCCGGAAAAGGCCGACAATGAAGCTTTGCTGCCGGGGTCTTCGAATGGGACAAAGTTGGGGAGGTTCTCCAAGCCAAAGGTCCAGGACCTGGGTTGTTTGGGACTTAGGGTTTAGGGTTTAGGGTTTAGGGTTTAGGGTTTAGGGAGTTTAGTGTTCAGGGCTGGGGATCTCAAGAATGAGCAGCCCACGCATGAGAAGGCCTGCCCTCCTTCAACTTGACGGCTTCTTGGTTTTTTAGGGACCGTTTTTTTTTGAGAAGCATCTGAACAGGCTCTAAACCCTAAACCCCAAACCCTAAACCCCAAACCCTAAGCCCTAAACCCTAAACCCCAAACCCCAAAGCCTTAAAACCTGTAGCCCCAAGCCATTCCGCGCAAGCAGGAGGGCCTCAAGCTCGCGCGGATAGAGGCTCGGGGCTGCAGTCCTGGGATCTTCCTGGGTTCCCTTGAAACCCTCCAACCAGGCAGGAAAGGTTTAGGGTTTAGGGTTTGGGGTTTAGGGTTTAGGGTTTTTTGGGTTTTTTTTCGGTTTTTTGGGCTTAGGGTTTAGGGTTTAGGGTTTAGGGTTCAGGGTTCAGGGTTCAGGGTTCAGGGTTCAGGGTTTAGGGTTTAGGGTTTAGGGTTTAGGGTTTAGGGTTTAGGGTTTAGGGGAGTCTCAGCACCTCAACCCTAAACCCGAAGCCCCCCCCCCTCCCCCCTCCCCCCGCACTCGCAGCCACTTGCAAACTCAACTTCCAGCTTCGTTAGTAGGATGCAAGGGAGTGCCCTTATTCCCTTTTTGGGTTTAGGGTTTAGGGTTTGGGGTTTAGGGTTCAGGGTTCAGGGTTCAGGGTTTAGGGTTTAGGGTTAGGTTTTGTGATAAGCCCCTTTGAACAAAGAAGGTCACCCTTTCTAATCCTAGGTTGCTGGGAGGTTGCAGGAAGGTGTCTGGGCGAAATGATTTTGTCGTCAAACCCACTGGGGTAGGCCCTTGGGATATTGTCTATTTTCCCTTGGTGGGTTTCCACTGGGTGGGCCCTTTGGGATATTTTCTTTTTTCCTTGGTGGGTTAAGCGGATAGTCGTTTATGAATATTTTTGTTAGAGGGTTTAGGGATCCTAGCTAGCCCGAAGCCCTAAGCCCTGAGCCTTGAACCCCCCAAACCCCAAAGCCAAAACACCAGGGAGCTGGACCCGGCGTGACGTCCGAAGCTCCGAAGGCTATGGGTGGTAGGGTTTAGGGTTTGGGGTTTGGGGTTTGGGGTTTAGGGTTTAGGGTTTAGGGTTTAGGGGAGTCTCAGCACCTCAACCCTAACCCGAAGCCCCCCCCCTCCCCCCTCCCCCCGCACTCGCAGCCACTTGCAAACTCAACTTCCAGCTTCGTTAGTAGGATGCAAGGGAGTGCCCTTATTCCCTTTTAGGGTTTAGGGTTTAGGGTTTAGGCTTTAGGCTTTAGGGTTCAGGGTTTAGGGTTTAGGGTTTAGGGTGTAGGGTTTAGGGTTAGGTTTTGTGATAAGCCCCTTTGAACAAAGAAGGTCACCCTTTCTAATCCTAGGTTGCTGAGAGGTTGCAGGAAGGTGTCTGGGCGTAATGATGTTGTCGTCAAACCCACTGGGGTAGGCCCTTGGGATATTGTCTTTTTTCCCTTGGTGGGTTTCCACTGGGTAGGCCCTTTGGGATATTTTCTTTTTTCCTTGGTGGGTTAAGAGGATAGTCGTTTATGAATATTTTTGTTAGAGGGTTTAGGGGTCCTAGCTAGCCCGAAGCCCTAAGCCCTGAGCCTTGAGCGCCCAAACCCCAAAGCCAAAACACCAGGGAGCTGGACCCGGCGTGACGTCCGAAGCTCCGAAGGCTATGGGTGGTAGGGTTTAGGGTTTGGGGTTTAGGGTTTAGGGGTAGGATTCAGGGCCTCTAAGGCCGCACAGGGCTTGGGTGGTAGAGCTCACCCTTTTGGATTTCTAGGGCTTGGCGTTTTTGGGGCAGGGCTTGCTGCTCTAGACACCCTAAACCCATAACCCTAACCCCTAGACACCACGTAGGGATCTGGGGCTTAGGCCGCACATGTCTCCTCAGCCCCCCGGGCAAAGAAGTGTAGCGCCCTAGTGTTGACAAACTGCTTGGGGGAAAATCTCATTGATTTCAGAATATCTTAGTTTTAAGCTCGGTTTTCAGACCTGTTAACACCTTATGTAATTAAAACTACTAGAATTTGCGCTTAGGTGGTAGTTTCAAGCCTACATCCCGAAGACCAGATTGATGCTTCATGCTTTCGGACCCCCGGTCTCCGCCTTCTTCTGTTTCAGGCCCCCAAGAGGCCGTCAGCTCTCAGGAAGAGGCAGGATTCAGGATTCATAGGCTTGGGGGTCAGGGTTTAGGGTTTGGGGGGTTAGGGTTTAGGGTTTAGGGTTTAGGGTTTAGGGTTTAGGGGGTTTAGGGGGTTTAGGGGGTTTTGAGGGTTTTGAGGGTTTTGAGTTAACTAAGGGTTGAGCCGCAGGGCGTGAGGATGGCTCGGAGTAACGGGTTTAGGGTTTAGGGTTTAGGGTTTAGGGTTTAGGGTTGTTCGCCTGCAGCTATCCGGGCTTTCATGCGCACTCTGTACAATGTACAATTTCGGTTTCGGCCTTGATTTGGACGTGCGCGTGCGATTTGCAGTAGAAAGAGGCCACTACTCACTAGTATCGGCTGCGGGCTTCGCTCTTAAACCCTAAACTCCAAAGATCACATGGCAGTGGGGTGCAGACTTCAACCCCTGACCCCACCAGGAGTGCTTGCGGGCTTCATTCCCTAAGCGGTGCAGTCGGGTAATATCGGGGCCTCTACCCACTGTATTTATTGTATGAATTAGAAGGGTTATTGTTGGATTATGTTGATAGTTAATAACATAGGCTCCGGTATTCACCAAGACCCCAAAACCCCAGAAATCGTGTGACGCCGATGCCTGGTCTGAAGCGCACTAATCCTTCACCTGCGTTGCAGGCCCTGAACGCTAAACCCTAAGCTCTAAATCCAGCAATCCTTCACCTATTTTCACGGTCCATGAACCCTAAACCCCTATGTTTATGGTCCCTGAACTCCCCAAACCCCTATGATATGTTCAAGGTCCCTGAACCCCTGCCTAAATCCCTATGTACTCCCCAAACCCTAAACTTCTCGGCTGCATCAACATCTTTGACGACATGTCCAATGTTCATCCCCTCCTTAAGGTCCAGCACATTGAGGGGCTCTAGGGACTCCCTCCAAGCCCTAAACCCGAGAACCCCAAACCCTGAACCCTAAACCCCAAACCCTAAACCCTAAACCCTCAACCCCAAACCCCAAACCCTCAACCCTAAACCCTAAACCCTAAACCTGGAGCCTCCATAAAAAGCCCCCAAGCCTCGCCACAAGGCACACGGCGGTGAAGTCGGGCGGCCCACCGGCGGAGAAGGCATGGGTGGGTGACGGGTGTGGGGTTGCAGGCTTGAGGGGTTCATGAAGGGTTGGGAGTTTAGGATTTAGGGTTTAGGGTGTAGGGTTTGGGGTTTAGGGCTCCATGGTTAGTGGTTTGGGGTTTTGGTATACGGGTCAGGGTTGAAGGTTTGGTTGAACGAGTTAGGATTTAAGGGTTTCGGGCTAATGAATGGGGAGGGTCGAGGGTTAGGGCTTCGGGTTACTTAAGTGCTGAAGCTTTAAGGGTTTCGGGTTTAGGGTTTAGGGTTTGAGGTTTAGGGTTTAGGGTTTAAGGTACAGGGTTTAGGGTTTGGGGTTTGAGGTCCTTGAAGCTGTTCCGGCAGGTCGCAGGGCCATAGCCCCAGGGCAAAGGGCAGTGAAGGAGCCACCAGCACGATGGCGATCCGAAACCCCAAACCCTAAACCCTAAACCCTAAACCCTAAACCCTAAACCCTAAACCCTAAACCCTAAACCCTAAACCCTAAACCCTAAACCCTGTGAGTTGAGGGGTTTTGGGTTCGGGGTTTAGGGGTTGTAGATTGGGAACATGATGTCGGTAACACAGCTCAGAACCCCAGAGAGTTTACACAAAAACCCAAACCCTAGCTAAGACCCAAATCCTAGAACCCAAAAACCGACAACGCTTCAACCCTTAAACTCTTCAACTCTAAACCCTAAACCCTATCTAAACCCCAAGCCCCCAAGCCCCCAACCCTAAACCATAAGCCCTAGCTACACCCCAAACCCCCAAGCCCCCAAATCCCCAACCCTAACCCCTAAACCCCCCAAAACAAGAAAAAAACCCCAAACACCCCCGAACTCCACAAACTTCCCAAACCCAAGAGACAAGGCGCCGCCGGATGCGACGGCACCCAAGGCCGCCGCGGCGGCTTGGCGGATGCGCAAGCGAGAGGGGGTGGGGGGGGGGGGGGGGGGTTTAGGGTTTCGGGCTCGGGGGGGGGGGGGGTTCTGGGGTTCAGGGTTTGTGGGTTGGGCTTGGGGCTTGGAGTCGCCAGTGTTTAGGGCTTGAGGAGTTGTAGGGTGCAGGGACCCCATAAGGGACCCAATCATAATTCTGAAGCCCCCACACACATACAAACACACACACGCACACTAGGACATTTGAGTGTCTTGTGCTTTGTGGGTTGGAGGTTGCGTGGTTTTAAAGAAGGATCCGGCTTCCAGGGTTTCAGGAACAGGTCCCACCAACAGCCGCTGCCTGGGGGTTTCTGGCCCTCTCGCACTCGTGAAGACGTTGGAGCAACA